TCATCACTACTAAAAATTATTCTACTCTTATAACAAATAAAAGACATTTAATGTTCAAAGAATAAAAAATTATTTTTTTTATATGTTGTATATATTTTATTAAAATAACATTCATGCTTCACTATATTTCTTTGATATTAACGAATCTATATAAAGTTGCGTTGTCGAATATGGTTGTTGCCATAATGACTTGTAGCCAAATATGGCTGCTGTTGCAATGATAAGTTATTTGTGAAATTGTTAAGAGGATGGCTGAAGGCAAATTTCAAACACCAAAGTCTTGGGTGCTAAATTTTTAGGTAACTGAGTAATCGACTTTTTGTAGCCATAATGGAAATCGGAGAAAGAGATAGCTCAAGCACCGATCGCTTTATTTAAATTGATCGTCGCTCGATCACTAGCTAATTATATTGAGGGAGGTGCTTGAGAACGGCCTTAACTGGTTGCCAAAACTTCAACTTCGGCTGCGTCATTTTCTCTTTTTAATGATTTTACCAATTTAAATCTTTTATTGCAACAGCAATAGAATCAATTTATGGAATTATTGGCGAAAATTGTATTTAAATTTTTTTTCTTGCGAATATTAATGTAATATTTAAATTTATTGAACGAAAAATGGAATAGCAAATTCATTCCGGTTTGATTAAATGTTAAAAGACGGGTTGTATTTATTGTGTTCATATCAAGGTATCGATTATTTGTTTAAAAGCCTCGAAAATTAAAATAAAGTGGCTATTTTTTCAAATCGGTTAAAAATTTGTTGAGAATTCATTGTTAACTATGTTTGGTATGCAAAAAAATCCAAAATATTGCTTGAGCGATCTTTATCAATGGCAAATTTTTGAAGAAAAAAGATGGTTTGTATTTCGCTGATTTGTTCATCGAAATGGTAACTCACTTGGTTAATTTATTCAATTTCCGACTATTTAAAATTTTGCTTCCCGATCCATTGAATAAGGTGCTTGAGAACCCCCTTAAATAGCTAATCATATTAAGTCTTTCTATGAAGTCAAAGTTGTTAATAGTATGGTAAATTACTGGTAATATAAAATTTAATGGTAAGTTACACATTTTTCAATAACTTACGCTAACTTACCGTAAGTTGATAACCCTAGTTGTGCCTTAGGCTAACAGGGGTTAGGCTAGTACCCTACCAAATTAAAGTCTCATTATCGTCGTTTAATAACAATAAGGTTTGTGCAATTAATTTTGACCAACGAATGACACCTAAGAATCATTCGAAATACTTCCATTTTGATCTCATCCTTTTTCTCACGAGATTCCCCGGGTACAAATCAAGTTAGCTAGGGTTTTTTGACTTATACCCCGCTATATGCAGCGCTCTACGGTATATAAAAACATGCTGATTCACTGAGTTTAAAAAAGATAGTATAATAAACAGGATGAGTCAGTGTCATAAGTAATGTGAACACCAATCTTAGACCAACTGTGTAATGAAAACCAGTTGTAACAACGGCATAAACAATGTTAATTATTCAAAAAACAAAATTTGATAAATATGTATATACAAGTAATTCTCGATATAGGGAAAATTTCGATATACTCGATATAAGAAGTTCTTGGCATAAGAAAGATTTTACAAGTTTCATTTGATCTTTGTAAACCGTGATAAACTTTTGGAGCCGACGGCATCGTCTAGTTCTTATAAGAAAATTTTTATTTTTTTTTTTGCAATTAAGAGTTAAATTGAATTTGAAGGATTAATTCTAATTAATGAAAGTATACAGTGTAGATATCATAAGCTAATTGTAAGGAAAAGTTTTAACGAGTTACAATTTCCAAGAAACATTTACATAATGATATTGTTTACATCTATTTTCAATGCATATAATCACTTTTTCCCGGCTGCAGCACCACCAGTAAAATACCTAAGTTTGGTCTTAAATCTTTGTGCAACCATTCCAGTACCGCGACTTTCAAGCAGAGGAGATTTTGAACAAACTTCTTTCCATTTTCCTTGCATAACTTCACTTATAGCCTTAAATAAAGCTTCATCTTCTTCTTGAGTCCAATTAGCACGTGGACGTCTAGAACCATTGGCGTCGGTGGAATCGCCATTAACGGACAAAGAAACAGGTGAAGACGAATCATCAACGCTAGAAGTTCGTCGACGTTTTTTGGAAAGCGATGACTTAAACTTTATAGAATATAATAAATATACATAACGATTAATAAATGTAGCTGAAACATATTGAACTTTTACTAATTCATGACAATTATAACAAAATTACCTCCTCGGACATTTTAATATCAAGAATAAAGATGCCAAAAAAAGGATCAGAATAAAATATGAGATAAAGAAGGAATTATTATAAATAATCTTCACATATAAGTAAGAAATATGATATTTTTATGAACGATATTTTATAGAATATATACACACAGTATATATAATGTTTATGATGCAATTACATAAACATGTCCGTGAAATTTGGATAAGCTAATCGAGTGAATTTAGACTTTTCTTTGTAGTTTGATTAATGGAAGAAACCTTCGTTAATGAGTGTTGATGTACAAATATATTGTTCAATCATCAAACTCAAATTGGCTTAATGTATCAGATTAAATTAAAAAAAAAAATCTGTCAGATTTCAAAGGCTCCTAATAATATAATAATAATATAATAATAAAAGAATGGGTATGATCCTCAAATTTGGAAGATGAATTTATAAGCAATTTGCGATATAATAGAAAAATTGTATAAGAGCTTACACCAGTGACCGAAATCTATAAGAAATTATTTATTCGTATTTTTTATATAAACCGAAATAGTCAATTCATATCAAATTTTGTTTTATGTATAGTTGTTTATATCGATATATTGATATTATTGCAATTTATGCAGGCCATTCTGCTGCGATACCTTTGAATTTCATTCCTCTGATGGCATCAACATTTATATCAATAACAAAAGAGGCTCACTTGTTATCTACTAAAAATTTAATTTTTAGGTGCGCTAAAGATGATCGAGTTCCATGCCTAATAGACGAAACATGATAAATAAATTATCTTCTAGAAAGCAAACTGCTGATTATCCATCTCAAAATAAAAAACGAAGCCACTCCACCTCCGCTTCCATCTCAGAATAAAAACGAGACCACTCCATTTCCGCCTCCATCTCATAATAAAAACGCAACCACTCCACCTCTGCTTCCATCTCAGAATAAAAACGAGACCATTTCACTTCCGCCTCTATCTCAGAATAAAAACGATTCCACTCCACCTTCGCCTCATCACAGAATAAAAGTGAAACAACTCCATCTCTCATAATAAAAAACGAAACCACTCACCTCAGTCTCCATCTCAGAATAAAAGTGAGACCACTCCACCTCCGTTTCCATCTTATAATAAAAAACGAGACCACTCCACCTCTGCTTCCATCTCAGAATAAAAACGAGACCATTTCACTTCCGCCTCTATCTTAGAATAACTCCATCTTTGCCTCATCTCAGAATAAAAGTGAAACCACACCACCTCCCCCTCAGAATCATAAAAATAAAAAAACGAAACCACACCACTTCCACCTCAAAATATAATAACGGAATAATTTCACATCTCAAACAATTCGCCACCGGCTAACGGAAGTTGTATTCCGATGAATAAGAATGATTCATTCCGTAAACAAAATACGATAGATGTGATGGCTTTAGAAAACGGTTTAAATCTTTAACTGCAAATTCAAGTTGTACTGAAGGTCAGAATGCTTGTGTTGAAGACAAACTTGCTACTTGTGTTTGTGGAAACTTTGCCTTATCAAAATGCGAATTTAAATGTCACGTGTTATCGCTAGTAAACAAGCGCGGCACTACAGTTACGTCGACACTGATGAGGATAGGGACACACGCATCAAAGACGCTCTTGAGTCATGATTTTATAAACGTGATTATATTTGTGTTTATGGAAAACTATGTTTCACTTATAAACTAGAAGAATCGATTAGTCGATTTGTCACGTTGGATATTTATTTATCATTCCGTCTTAATTAAATGTGGCAGCTTATACTTTTATTTTATTATGAAATTATAAAATTTTTTGGGGCTTTTTTCAAGTTAGGATTTAGGGTTAGTATTATTAATAAAAGAGTATATGTGGATTTTAGTATATATTATAAATTTAAATAGGGACCCACATTAAATATATAAATAATAATATAAAAAGAACTGGCGTTTAAATTTTGAGCGAATTTAAATATTAATACTATAATGCATTTGTCAAGATCAAAATTGATTGTTTGAATATTTTTTCTAACCAGTGACATATTTTTTTCTAATAATAATGATACCGGTACTCTTTATCTCCCAATTCTTATTAACATCAATATAAGTAATATATATATCTGTATCGATCGACAGAACGAAAAAATGGAATATTGATGTATAAAATTTTTAAAAATTTTATAAGTGCAATGGTCCTTGATAATTTGCACTTAGACATGATTGATTGTATATATAAATTTAGTAAAAAAATACAATCCTACCTGAGTTATATCATTTCTTTTTTCTCTGTATGTTTTTAATTTTTTTGAGATATAACTAACTCTTAATAAAGTTATGTTTTCAGATTTATAGACTATAGTAAAATTTTTAATTAAAAATATATTTCAATTGGTATATATAAAATCCAATACATTTTAAGTCCCATATAAATTTACAATATCGATATTGCAGATTTTTTTAATCATAAAAAAAAAAATAATCATAAATTTTTTATTACTGTACATAAATTATGATATATGACGATTAACACATGCAGTGATAAGGCGCATGATGTCCGTCTTTATGTATAACAGTATTTAGCAAACTATGTTCGAAGCGAGACTGCAAACGCATTCTAAAAGATTTAGTTGATTATTCAGCCTTAATTGCACGATGAATTGACACCAAACTTTGTAAAAAGAAGTCTTAACACTTATTTTACAAAGAAGTCTTAACACTTATTTTACAAAGTTATGTTAAAAAATATTTGTGCTTTATATATAGTATTACCAATTTGTTTTTTTTTTTGAATTTTAAGGTGAGGCGTCTTACCAATTTGTATAATTATGTTTGATTTTATTGGATGATCGACCACTCCATTAAAACGGTGTTCTTCTACTAAGCAAATCAAACTTTACTAAGTAAAGTTGTTCAAAATGTCATCTTTTACTTACCCTCAATTTTGGAGCCAAAGTGTATAATTAAAAACCTCTTAATTTAAGTAAAAGATGGAATTTACTTAATGGATAAACTTCGATTTGCTTAGTAAAAAATCATAGTTCCTTGTAATATGTTCAATTCGTCACAATACCCACATTTGCCATAATACCTTATATACGAATGTAAGAGCAATTTATTTATGAAGTTGTATCGGATTAAAGATAAATACACAATATTGGGCAAGTGAGAAATAATTTCATTGGAATTAATTTCACTCATGTGATGCTACGCAACACATGAGTGGAAAAATATCCTGTTATTCATCATATTCTCAATATTGACAAATGATTACGTAATCTCGTGCACAAATATCAACCGATCATATAAAATTTCAGATAATAATGAATTTTGATAATAAATCAAGCCACACAAAGTTAATTACTTCGTTTTCATGACATAAAATTTTAAAGTAGACACGGCGGCCGGCTTATTCTTTTTACAAAAAATTTTATGAATTTTTTTAAAAAAATTCTACCGATTACTAAGACAAAAAATTTTTTAAAGTTTTCAACCTTTGACCCAATTCATTAATTTTGTATGGCCTAACTAGTCGAGTATTATGTGGCTTTATCACGCGGTTTTTGCCAAACACTTCTTTCATTAGAAGCCAGTATCTGGACAATCAAATGAAAAGCCAAGGTTAATCGTTACTGATTAAGGAAGGCACTTAACCGATTCCTTCTCCAGAATCTGCAGACTTTAAACGAGCAGTAACAACCTTATTAGGGTTGTTAATGAAGTGACATACTCCGGAGCAGCTCCAAAGTGAGCCCAACCCAAGTTGGAGTGGGTTAAAAATATGCTGGAGTGAAACTGGGGCAGCTCTAAGCAAATCTGGAGTGGCTCCAGAGTAATGAAGTTGAATGATAGTTGTCACATGCCGTAACTATAGTAAATAATAAGTAAAGTTACGGCTATAATGTCGTAACTTTACTATGTTGCTTACTATAGTTACGGCAAGTTACAGCCATGTGACAACTATCATTCGACTTCATTGGGACGATTCTACGGCATTTCTACTCCAGAGTAAGCCCAACTCGAGTTGGAGTGGGTTGAGGAATAGCTCACCCAACCCACCCCATTAATAACCTTTAACCTTTTATTCCCGAAAACCATCCATAAACATAATACTGTTCTCTTATAGCATGTTTAACAACAATTAGTTTTCCGAAACTGAAAAAAGGGTGGATATCTTTTAGATAAAAATGTATTATAAAGAAAATATAAGGGAGGGTGAAAAATAGATAAATAAAATATAAAATCAGATATAAGAGAAAACTGAATAATATGTTGTGCCTCAGATCACAGCTGACGCACTTCAGATGCAGACTCCAGGTGAGGTGCGTAACCTATCGATCGGTCAATAAGCACTAAAAAAAAAAATTATATGTAAAGAAATTATTGAAAATTGAACGTGCTGAAAAACCTAGACGGGAAGAATATGCCGCGAAAATTTAGGCAAAAAAAAAACTATATGTATAGAGAGAAAAAAGTACGTATTAATTGGAAATAGAATGTACCGTGAAAATTCAGACTAATAAATTCAAAGAATAAAGAGACTTAATGTAAAAGAATGCTACTGTTGGTGGTAAAATACCAGAGATTCAAGAATGCTATTGGAGGTAAGACGATGCCAGTGATTCAAAATATAGAATGCTACTGGAGTTAAGAAAGACGCCTAAGTGATTTAAAAAATGCTACCAGTGAGAAAACGCCGAAGAAATCCAGAATTCAAGTAAAAGGTTTTTTTTATTCAATTTATTTTTCGTTAGCTTGCAGCTTAAATAGGCAAAACATATATAAGAGAAAGTGAAAAGTGAAACTGTTTTAATAATTGTCGCGGATCATAATTTAAAATGAAATCTACATTTTTCTACTCAACCTGTTAACCTTCTAAAACCCATTTATACTTGTTTATTATAACTTTACTTTAAAACTAACCCCTAACCCTAACTCCTATCCCTAAAAAATGCACCCAAAAATTTTATTTTTCGAGATTTTATATTATAATTTCATTTGATCTGGATTTCATTATGATCCGCCACAATAATTTAGCTAAACGCGTTGGATAGCACAATGGAAAATTTATCCGATTGGTTAACTATAAGCAGTATAAACAGCATATCGATTAACGTGATTACCATCTACAGATTATGATAGATAATACTGTAATATATAATTCTGTAATTGGTAAAGAATTTTTAAAAGCTCTTTCGGCTGATTATAATGTTTACACGCCACGCTGTTCCAAAGTCTCATTTTCTTATTAGACAATATGCTTTGAAAGCAATGCGTCTAAATATGATTAAACGTCCGTCATTATTTAGAGTTTATCCTCACAGTCCTTATAGTCGTGGTTCTGTAAAGGTTTTTTGTTTTACTATATCTAAGATATTAAATGCTATTTTTATCAAATTTCAAGATATGGCTTCATATAGTTTACTTCATACCCATGCTTTATGATTTCCCTAAAAAGGCTTTAAAAGCAATAGTCACTTTTGTTGGTATTGTAGGCTCAACTTATTGGTATGTGCAGAGAAACAACTTTGCATTTGCTGATTCTATGAATGTGATAAACCCAAAATCTTATACAACTGGTAATGTGTATAAATTATATAATTTATTCTTCATTTTATCGCTTATATTTATGAACTGTTATGTCATAGAAGAACCTGAAAGTAAACTTCTTATTCCAACGTATATCTCTTTATATGATGGAACAAATGCGAAGCTAGTAGGGTTAGGTATAAGAACTATATCATTTTTGAAAATGAAAGTTTATGTTATTGCAATGTATATTCGCGAAAGCGATATAGAAATCTTGAAGAAATGGAAGGTATCAATTTTTTGCGTAGGAATATTTGTGTATGGCACATTTAGTGCATCTTATTGATTGTCAATGTCCGTATGTGTTGATGCGAAAATGAATTTCCGCCTAAGTATTCTAACGAAAAATACTCCCTACAAAAATTTGCTATACGGTCTATACGGTACAACTTATTCCTTTACTAATCCTTAATCCAAATCTGAAGATAATAAAAATAGGATGCACAAAATGCACCAGCGCTAGTTAAAATTTTCTCTTTTATATATATTATGCTTGTGATAATGATCATTATTTTAATCAGGGTTACAACAAAGCAAAGTTTTTATCAACTAACGATGAGTCGGTTGCGTCAAATTTATTGGACCAACCTGTAGATATTGCTATTCGCATAGGTGATTTGTTATTCATAACTTTGTTAATTATAAGTTTCTAAATAATTTAACACTGATTTTGAAAAGAACCTGTGCGAAATACTAATGGTCAACATTTACGGGATGGATTCGTACGTGCTCTTACGAATAGAATGCAGAATGGTCATCTAGATGATGATGATGTTGAAGTATTGTTATTTTATCATGATGAAATATACTTCTAATTGCTATGATATAACTTTTTTATTCTCTCGTAGGGCGTACTTGAAGCTCTTAAAGAGTTTAAAGCTCAATTTCCTAAATCATTGGTTAAAACTGGTACCGCTATGATTTTAACAAAACAAAGAGATGGTTATTTAAGAATTGAATACGAAGTTTGTTTACTTATTTTTGTGTTAGGTGTATATGTTTGTAAGTGGGAACGGAATTTAAGTGATTCGGAATTTATATATAAAACCTCTGTTTGGGGTTGATTTTATCATATGTACACCCTAACCCTAACCCTGATTTAACTAGGAAATTCCAAATCCACTTAAATTCCATTTTCACTTACAATATATATACATGTTATATGTTATTTGCTTCTAATTTCTTTTATTCAAATAGGGAACTCACTCTAGTGTTGTAAAAAATAAATGGTTAGCAAAAAATCTTCTCATGGGTTATTTAGCAGCAGACAATCCTATCTCTGAAAAAGTATATATATTTTTTTAAAATTACAACTGTTTAATAATGGTTTGTAAGATTAATTATTTAAACTATTTGATATTTAGGCAAAAATTAGTATTGCAGAAGGATTTGATAATGTCTTAAATATGAATAATACAGTTTAGTTAAAACTATAAAAAAACAACTTCTAAGTGAACCATCTAAAAATTATATACAGTACAATAAAATTTTATTGTTCAGAACGTAGCTTTGAAATTAGTTTATTCATGGGTTATGAAAAAACAGGTTAAGGTTTATAAAATATGTTATAACTAAAAAGGTTTATAGTGGGTAGAATAAATAAATCAATGTCAATATAGTGTTTAGGATTTTGTATGGTTAATATAATAAAAAAAATTAGAATGTTTATATATAAATAATATTTGTTTTTAATAAAGTACAAAGACATAAAACAACTAATTATATATAGAGAATTGCTATTGCCACTCCTATTTTTGTTACTGCCACCCTTACATAATCTAATTGGTCTCCAACATTGCTAACCCTAATTATTGATTAGGGTTAGATTATGAGGGCAATTCTCTTTATATAATAAAACATGCAAGATTAATATGGACATACAATTTTAAACCTGTTTTTCAAACGAACAGAGGATCCCTTAAAGAATGCTATTTGTTATGTAATCTTTTTACTTAATCATTATCTCTCTATTTGCCGAAAATTACAGCATTAGAACATATAAAAAGCAAAACAACTTGCAATATTTTAAGTTTGAAGATTCTAATATCGATATATATAGATAAATTATATAAATATATCGTGAAATTAGTGACTCGAATAATTTGAGCATATCATGATTTGAGAGATAGGGACAGAGTCTGGTATGTATTCATATCTGCTTTTATTTAAATTTTTGTGATTCGAATATTCGAATAAATTCGAATAAATTGATGATTCGAGTACTCTTCTGAGCTTAATTCGTGGATCACGAGTTGAGGGAGTCCAGTCTTTACATGAAATAAACCAATTTCTACATTAAAATTTTAGAGATATCTTCATTTTAATTGCTGCTAAGTGCTTAATAAAAACTTATTGTTAATAAGTGCATAGCAATGGTAATTTATTATTATTGAATATTTATACATAATATTTCTTTTAAATATAGATATTCAGAGTTTTAATTTTGATGTAGGCCACATTTTTTTAGCGTAATGTAGTAAAATGAGCTTTGATATAATTACGATCCAATATAGTTTGACAACTCAATCATAGATCAATCATGATAATTTGCAGGCAAATTGTCCTGTAAAATGGTGTAAGGGATAGATATGAATAAATTCCGTAAAATCTTGTATTTGAGATATATTTTTTCGATCATTAATTAGATGTAATCATAAAGAAATCATTAACTCCGATCATAATTGCTTTGAAAAATCAAAATAAAAAGTATATGCTGCATATTGCAACGATTTAATATAAATAGTGACAATTATAACACTTTATGTCAATTTCTTGCACCAAAATGCCTCCAAAGCGGAATCAAAGATATCAACATAATAAGCGATTTCAAAGAAAATCCAACCCTGCTTTCCACCTTCGACATCAGGACAATCGATTTAATTATTCTTCACGTCAAGATAACTTTGATGAACAATTCCCAGAAACTATCTCTGATGATATCTATGGAACAAACATTGCACCAACATTTCATCAGATGGATCAAAATACATCAAGATCGTTGAAGAATTTTGAAATACGAGGCAACGCCTATAATTTCTCGTTAAATAATATTAATCATTCAATGAACAACATTCAACCCAATTCAATAAGTGGGCTACGCAAAGTTTCTGAACTACGTATCCTTTTTACCTTTGCTCTGATTTCATTTAAATCTGGTGCAAATTTATACGTATCTCTTTAACAAGTCTTTATTTAGCTGATCGATTTAGATCATTATTTCCCTTTGGCGTCTTTAACAGCATTCAATCACAATGTATTGATACCGTAAGTCTAATGCTTTTATGTCGGTCATTATCATCGTTACTGCAAGTTGAGTTTCTTCTACTTAATATAGGCCTTATACACGAATGAAGATCTCGTTGTAATCGGTATTATTTTCAATAATCAAGATTCTGTTTATAAAATTTATTTCAATTATAAAATATAGTATAATATGTCAAAATTATACATTAGCACCAACTGGATCCGGTAAAACTGTAGTATTTGAGCTTGCAATGATCAATGTACTTATGAATAATAATGATCATGCAAGAATGGTGTATATGGCGCCAACTAAGGTATTTATGATCGCATGAAATTCAAGATTTCCACCTTTTACTAATTCGTCCATTTGTAAACGCAAGGCAATTTGCTCAGAACGGGCACAGGATTGGTCTCGCAAATTTCGTCATATTGGAATCACATGTATATGTCAAGATATACATTGGCTTTCCATGTAATAAAATAATTAAAAATCTTTATTTGTTTTACTATTTTAGGCGGAGAGTTGACCGGAGACACGAACACGGCACATATTGCTGATATTAAAAAAAGCAACATTATGTTCGTAATTATTATTTACGTAAAAAAAAAAAATGTTTTTTTTTTTTATTATTATTTTATTAACGAACGCGTAATTATTTTAACGACGCGTAATTATTTTAACGACGCGTAATTATTTTAACGACGCGTAATTATTTTAATGAACGCGTAATTATTTTAAACGAAATCATAAAGTGTGACAACACCCGAAAAATGGGAGTCAGTAACACGTCAATGGTAATAGAATCATCTTCTGTTTTTGTTCAATATTTGTGTTTTTACTAAGATATTATTATCAGGGTTGATATTAAGAATTTGTTATCGATGCTTAAACTATTCATGGTACAAATATGATAATTACCTTGGTCCGGCAATGCTATATTCAATATATTTATTAATGTGTTGCATTAGATTGATGAAGTTCATATATTGCACGAAGACAGAGGTGCCATTCTTGAGGCCGTTGTAATGTGTCATTTCATTCTGTTTCATATTTCCAACAAAAAACACACATAATAAAAGTAATTTTATTATTAGGTTAGCAGAATGAAACTCATGGGAACCTATAGCAGATTTATCGCAATTTCTGCAACAGTGCCCAATATTGAAGATGTTGCATCTTGGATCAATCTTGGTATTCAGAGTGACAATAAATTTCCTCAAAATAATGGTATTTCTTTATTTCTCTTAGTGATCGTAAATACTCAACTGCAAATACTCAAATGTCTTAATTACAAATTATAATGGAAACAAGTTAAAATTTTACAATTTGGAGATGAGTATCGACCTGTACGACTCTCTCGTCAGGTGTTATCCTATCCATCGGATGGAAATGTATTCAAATTTGATAAAACATTGAACGACAAGTACGTATCATCTTATTTGTGATAATATATGATCCATTTGACCTTGAGAACTAATGGTTCTTCCAGACTTCTTGACATAATTCAACAATATTCTAACGGGAAGCCCTCAATAGTGGTAAGTTATATATACTTCCAAAAGTTTCGTTGATAATATGAGCTGTCAATATTCACGTTGAATAAACAATCATACTCAATAGTTCTGTATAACGAGGAGGTCTACAGAAGAAGCGTGTCAGTCTATCGTTAAACAACTTAAAAATATGCATAAAGATTTACCGTGGAACATCAAGCCAATGTAAGCATTGAGATGTCTTCGTGGTTTTGATTTTGTTTATCCACCCTCACATTAATTCGACATTTTAGTGAAATTACATTTCACGACAAACAGTTACAAGGTACGCACTCATATTTTGTTTTATTCAGTTTTTGTTTGTTCTGTTATCATAAAATTAAAATAAAATATTTATAAATTTCAGAATTCGTAAAATATGGTGTTGTTTTTCATCATGCAGGGCTTCATATGCAAGATCGAAAAAATATTGAATCGATGTTTTTACAAGGTGCAATACATGTTATATGTAGGTATAGACTGATATATTAGAAGTCAATGAAGTTGCTATTTACACAAAATATGATAATTGGTGTTTATTACTTCCAGGCGCAACATCGACATTAGCTATTGGGGTCTGTTTTAAGTTTCTTATATAATTCGTAAGTTAAAGATTGTTATTCAAGTAATGCTTATTACCAACAGGTAAACTTACCAGCTCATTTAGTTATAATCAAATCAACCATGGCTTATAAAAATGGCGGTTTCACAGAATATTCTGACTCAGAGATTAAACAGATGCTTGGTCGTGCTGTAAGTATCGTAACTTTGATACGTATTTGTTGATAAATGGTGTCTTTTAATCTTTGCTATTTTAGGGTCGACCGCAATTCGATGATAGTGGAATAGGTAAAAAAATAAATAAATAAATAAAATAATAAGAATCATAGTAATAATAAAATTTAAAATGCCATAGAATATTGACAAGAAATTATCGGTTTAAAACATTTATCTATTAGCGGTTATAATGACAAGCCATAATATGAAACAAAAGTATGAAGCATTGGTAACTGGAATTAAAGATAAACTCGAGAGCAGGTAACTCATTATCTCTTGACAGTATTTACCCAATTTTAACCAATTCTTTAACTAATTCTTTTACATAAAATTAGCTTGCATGAAACACTCCACGAACATTTAAATTCTGAAATATGCCTTGGAACCATAGATCATGTGAACAACGCGATGAAGTGGTATATACAATTTTCTGTTATTATTACTGTATAATTATAATTATGATTATTTTAACCATAGTTATATGTATATTTTTTGATAATAAATAGGCTCAAAACTACTTTTTTATATGTGAGGATGAAGTCAAACCCTCAACGATATGATCCAAGATTTAAAGAAGGTCAAAATTGGGAAAAAAGGCTTGAAGGAAAGTTTCCGATCCATTAGTATAAATAGTAGGTGCACCATGGTGATTTGATTTTTTTTCGTTGTCTACAGGAATTTGTATGAATGACTTGAGAAATCTTGAAATATCCGAAATGATTATGATAAATAACGATAATATTAGGCCGACTAGTAAGCAAACATAATTAAGAATTCTTTTTATTCATTAATTGATTTCGGCTAATTTTAACATTGAAAATAAGAAATTGGCGAAACAATGGCAAAGTATAATATAAAATATCTGACAATGCAACGCATCTTGTCAATATTTTCATGGCACCAAAAAAACTCGACATCGTCAAAAGAAGAAATTATAAAAACTTGCGTATGTATATAAGGTTTGTTTTTCAAGTAAAATTTTCTTACAAAGTAATCGATTTGATACACAGTTGGAGAAAGTATCGCAAGCAGAAGAGTTTAATGAAGTAAAATTGCATCGTCATGAAAAACTGGTATGATATATTCCTTAAGCCACAATTATTCATGTCATTTTATTATTTCTAAAATTATAATGTTGCTTAGGCGTTGAATAAGCTAAATCAGCATGCGGATATTAAATTTCCTCTTTCTGGAAAAGTGAAAGATACCAGAGAAAAAGTTTTTCTCATGATCCAAGTAGGTGCATCAAAAATTTATGATAAAAATTTTGTTTAAAAATAAACCTTCAAAATTATCACCAGGTCGTATTAGGAAATGTGCCCTTAGAGGATTCATCAACTCGTGTACAGTTCAATACGGAGTCGAGAGTCATCGTTCAACATGGTCATCGTATACTGAAATGTAAGTAGTGATTATTTATATTTACTCAAAAATGAAATTTAATATATATAATATATATATATTTTTTTATACAAATTCTAGGTCTTGTTGAATTAGCAGCATATAAAGAGAATGTTGCGGTTTTGAAAGTTGCAATAGACTTGTAAATCTAAATCCTATTTGATGTGTATTTTTAATTAACGCACCCCTAACATTTTTACACTTTATAAACGCCACAAGAGCGAGATCTATGAAAGCAAAAATGTGGAATGATTCTCCCTTTATACTAAAGCAACTAGATGGCATTGGTATTTTTAAATAATGCTTCGCCGAGTTATACACATTGTTAATCAAATTGATAATCACTTATATTCGAATAGGGGAACAATACGCGAAAAAACTTGCAGATGCTGGAATTACAAATTTTGAACAGTTAAGAGAATGTGAGCCATGGAGAATTGAAACTGTTAGTATCTAGTTTAACATTTCGAAGGAAATCCAATTTAATAAATTTAATATTGATAATTGATTAATATTGATATTGTAGGCTTGCAATCGATATCCACCATTCGGACATAACGTAAAAGCAGGTCACATGATATTCTTTTTTGCTTGTTTAACTTTACAAACATAAATTTATATAGGTTCACGAAGCAGTTGCGACACTTCCAAATCTTAAGCTCGATATTGAGCATGTAATTATTTACATAAGAATTCAAATCTTTTTTATCTTCTTTATTTCGTAATAACAACCTTCTACATTCAATTTGGGGATAGAATGTCTCTAACTCATCAGAATATCAGAAATATATTGTGAACATTTGTCTAAGCAATAATGAGAAGGTATCTACAAAGCGTAATGGAATGAATTTAAATGCTGCATTTATAGCGGCTACAGAGGATTTGTTAATAGAATTTCGCCAAATGCCGTAAATACTATTCCTTATTATTATGTATTATAGCTTTACATAATACTGTTCACCAAGTTCAATAATACCCAGGTTATGGAAAATCCAACAAGGATTAAAGTTTTATTTCAAGACGAATGTTCAGATGAACCAACTGATCACTTGTTCCGTTTTATCGGAGGAATTTAGTGAGTGCAGGGGTTTTATTATTTTTCATAATTTTTTGATGTAAATCAGGTTACTGGATCGTTATATGATCATATTGTGTAAATATCCGATATTATTTGAATTTCAGTCGGATTGGATGTCTACAAAACAATTGTACCCGACAATCAATCTTTGGATGTTTGTGATATCCTTGTTGCACCCACTGAACCATCACATGAAACGCCGAAAAAGTTCGAAATCAATAAGGTATAGTTTCATTTGTTAAATTAGACATAAAAATATTTAATATTCAATAAAATATGAATTTAAAAGCTTCCTTCCGAAACGAATCGTGTACAACACCAGAAACAAGGTGTTATCGAAAGTAAAGAGGTAAAACATTTTGGAATTGTGAATAATGTTGCTTAATAATAAATATATTTATAATTTATTTAATATTCCATTACAGACATCCAATATGAAGGAAAAAGAAAAGCAACATGACAGCAATATAAAAGGTCCAGAGTTGCTACCTAACGGACGAGTAAAATGCAACCATCCTTGTAAAGATAAACAAAAGTATTTTGCTTATCATTATCGTATATTATATCAGATATGGTTGTTATGTATCAATCACAATTTTAACCGATTTGCGATTAGATGCGCACATGAATGTTGCAAAATTGGGTGTAGACGTGCACCAAAGAAGCGAAAGAATAATAATATAACTTCATCGCCAACATTTTCATACGATAAACAACTTACCATTGACGAACCAACATTCAACGAAGAAATGAAATCACAACCAGTTATTCATGACGAATATGGTTTTCTAGACCAATCATGGTTTGAAACTTGGAATGAGTTTGATTTAATTTCAATAGTGGATTTAGATGAGGATAGGTTTTCTGAATTACCAGAAATGGCAGTAGGAAATAAGAAAGATGCAAACGAAGAATTAGTGAATGAAGAAAACGAGTTTGATTTAATTTCAATAGTAGATTTAGATGAAGATAAGTTTTCTGAATTACCAAAAATGACAACAGAAAATAAGGAAGATGCAGACGAAGAATTAATGAATGAAGAAATTATGAATTGTGTAGAAATAGAAAATAAAAATAATATACACAATAACTTCAACTCCGATACTGACTTTGAAAATCCATGGGAAGGTAGTGATGAAATGAAATGTAAGACTTTCACTGAAGCATTAGATGTTTTCGATTATGTACTTCGAACTATTATTTAAAATTAAGAAATATTAGGAAAAAAAAGTATTAGTAAATAAAAAAAAAAATAGCAATAACTCAAAAATAATAATTAACTTTAGCAATAATGATAGCTTTAATAATTTTTAATAATAATGACTTTAATAATAAAATTAGGAACCTAATATTTCCACACCCTATGTATATACTCTTTTAAAACTTTGATCGAAGATATCTCGACAAATACACAATGAAATTCGATATAGTTTTTTTTTTTATTTGAATTCTATGGATTCATAGAATTCAAATAAAAAAAAGACATCGAATTTCATCGTGTATTTGTTGTCGAGATATCTTCAAAGTTTTAAAAAATTTAAACATCTATCAACATATAAGTTGCGGCAAAATTCTGACTTTGATATAAGACATCTTGACAACCACCCAATGAAATTCGATGAACTTTTTTTTTTATTTTAATTCTATGAATCCATATAATTCAAATAAAAAAAAATTCATCGAATTTATTGGATAGTTGTTGAGATATCTTCGATTAAAAGTTTATTTTAATTCTATGAATCCATTGAATTCAAATAAAAAAAGCACATCGAATTTCTTCTACACGGAACGTGGAATATCAAGGCCCTAAAATTATATCTAAAAAAAAAAAAATACTGTAGTAGGTACGTATAATAAATTAAAATCGGATCAGAATAAAATTTTGTATGTATAAAATAAACAAGTCATTAAAAAATATATTTTTTTAGGGAGTATTTTTTAGAATAGAAGGCTGGCTTTAGAAATAGAATTTATAATAAATGAGTAGGTTTAAAAGATTAAATAAAATTTTAAATTTTATTTTAATCTGATTTTATTATAATACAATAACTACATATTATTACAGTAGTAATAATATCTGGATTATTTTATAATTTATTGCAATAGTAGAACTAAAAAAAATTAAGCTAGAGTTTGGAGGTATATAGTATTATTAATAAAAAGTATATATAAATTTAAACAAAGGATTCCAAATTTTAGCATAAGCAAATTCCTAGTATAAGCTTTCACATTTATTATTAACAAACATTAATTATATATTTTATACATATAGTAAATTTATCTATCTAGAATAAACGATTTTTTATTTTGTATTTATTCAACTAGATAGCCAACAAATTTAATAGTTTCTTAAGAACATTTTTCTTGCAAAGATCCCATAAACAATCTATATTTTTACTTAGGGTACCAGATAGCGATGCTACCCAAACCATTTGGGACGTCCCAAACTATGTGATGAATAGCATCATACGATTTCAGGAATAACAATAAGGAGGTACGTACGTACGTACGTACGTACGTAAATACTTGATGCGATATTATTCATCACATAGTTTGACTACCAGACATGAATATAGAAGTTGTGGTATTACCTAAATACTAGTGGTGTGCTTTAATAAACTCGTAAAGTAATAACTATATATATATATAGTGATTGTTACATCCGAAAAAAAATTATATACTATCGCTATGTAAAACAAATTAAAAATGAAATTTTATAAAAATACATTAAATGCGTTAATGCGTGAATGCGTGAATTTTAAAAATTCATTGTAATGGGGTTCTTATAGTTTGCACATATTAATATATATATATATATATCGAAATATACAAAGTTTTATTTATTAATATAAAATCAGATTATTGGTAAAATTAGATTTATTATTTCAGATTGCATTACTGTTTTAATCTTTTAAAATATTATTTTATACTACGAAAAAGTATTGTATGCAAATGTTATATATATATATAGTTATATAAACAAACTATAAGGATTACAACTTAACTATATAGAACAAAATATATTTCGAGATTTTACTCTACGCATATTTGTTTGAAGAATTAATTACTCCTGGCTGTGATTTATGCTATTCTATCATCAATCATCAATGAGCCGCAATAGATAAACACAGCCAGTGTATAGCCTCGGAGTGTACATGGTGTCACGTGTATCATAATTATTCTTGGAATGACTAGTCACTTTAAATGTGAAGTTTAGAAACCAGAGTAAATACAAGCAAAGATCAAGTAATTATTGTTATCGACAACAATTGATCGTAAAAATATGTAATTTACGCCACCCGAGCCTCATTCATTTGAAAATAAAACTCAAATAACGATTATAAATTAAGCTTAACATTAAAGGATACAAATATATAGTCAAATATAGAAAATCATGAAACCAATATCATTGATTGTTGAAATGTATGTACGTACTTTAAACAAACAATGATATAAATAATTTAGAGCTGGTCCGTGTAACTATGACTGTCTAATGCGGGTAAAAAAAATTGGAAAAGCCACAAATCAAACACAAACTCATTGGGGATTTCAGTAAGACAACGATGATTCAGACGTGTTACCAAATCAATATGCTTAACATGGCGATATTCTATAGGTAAGATAGAAACAATCGACATCGTTCATCGACGTGAATTCGAACGCTTGAGACTGATATAAATCATAACTAAAAACAGTTTTATCGTAAATATGAAAAGATAAAAGAAAATTTTTTGCGCGTTTTTGTAAAAACCATGGAACTATCACGTGCACGCATTATTCTCTAATTACAAAAAATAACTAACTTTAAACCATTATTTAATTGGTCCCTCATTCAGTTCACATCAAATCTATTTTAATCCAGATGAAACAAGACATTATTAACGTTATGTATAGTATGTAGTCAGTGTTGGGCTGACCAGACCAGTTTGACCAATTGACCAGACCAATTTGACCATTTTATCAGTCTGATCAAAGAATTTGTATTGGTCAAATTGGTCAAATAGCATCTTTAAATATAATTTATTATATAATATATATATAATATTTATATAATAGACTTGACCAATTTGACCAGTTTGACTATTTGACCAATTTGACCAGACCAATTTAACCAGCAATTTTTTGCTTGACCATTGATTTACCCAACACTGTATGTAGTATTACTTTATTCGTACAATAATACAGTCAATATTTATCAAGCATTTGTATTATTGATACCAATCGGAGAACCAAATCTAACTGATAAAAAAAATGATAAGATCGAACCGTATTCGAATTTATGAAGAAACGCATATATATATATGCATATATATATATATATATATATGCATATATATATATATATATATATATAGGGTGATACTTTTATGATATTTTCACGCGTTTCATCAGCATCGGCAATGATCAAGTATTATAGCAATAAGTATGTTCAAAATATTGATTAAAAAAACAGATCATTAGTGGTATTCTTTGTTATTTCTTTTATTTCTTTTATTTCTTTTATTTCTTTTATTTCTTTTATTTTCTTTTATTTCTTTTATTTCTTTGTTGAACGTCTTTTCTAACACCCGCCACACTCCCTGAAACACAGATGTACTTTAAATTTGCGTTTTCATCCATAAGACGATTTTCCCATCGTACGTTGGTTGATTCACGTATTGAAAATCCTTTTTATATGCCTTAATTTGGAACACACAGCCTCAACTGTATTGACTTGATTGACGGTTGTTAAATTGAATAATAAATAGATAAAGCTGGACATAGAAACAATAAAATAACAGATCACGCCACAAATAGAATTTATCGCTGTGTTATAAATTAATTACAGGATCATTGATGATGATAAGATTCAATGAACCTGTGTGTAATCAATGTGTTGGCCACGGCATGAGCCACATGTCAAGTGTTATCATGTATCTCAAGCCTCTTGTTCCGTTGTCTTACAGTGCATGCCACATGTACGCTCTTCGTACTACCCTTTTAAAAATATCTTCGCTATATAAGGCTTGGTATGTACTATTTTTTTTGTATGTATAGTCTTTTTAGTTTTTGACAAAGTCACACTAGCCGAATAAAAAAAACTGCAGATTATTGAATATTGAATCTATTTTATAGTAACATTGCACAATATTGACGGGAACTCGGGAAGTTTTTTTTAAAGCAAATTACAATAAATGTATTCCCGCCAACTTTTTTGTTAAAAAAAAACTCCAATGTATATTTTTCACAATTGTTATTGTCACATTTTTCGTTTTTGGACGCATGAAGCAGCAGTACAACCCGACTAGAACCTGTGTGAATCCCGCATATTAACAGGTCTTTATTAAAAAAAAAAATATAATCTTGAATATCTAAAAAAGGTCCAATGGATCTCCGCTGGAATCTGTATATATATGGTGGACTTCATCTCTTTGAAAAATCTTTAGTTTGAATATTGTTCTATACGGTCAGTTAATTGATCGAAGAGCAATCACTTCAGCGGTTTCTTTTTAGATAAAATAGTCAAAAAAATAAAATAAAATAAAATAAAAATAATAAAAAAATAAATCCGTAACTCTTGGTTGTATGCGCATTTTAAGTATTGTATTGTATATATTATTTATTATATGCCATACTACAAAGTGCAGAATCGCATTATACACTAATTCACGCATATAAATCATATAAATTTTTCATTCTTTCATTTCCTTTCTCTTGCCTACTATTCTAACAAACATTATCCCGATATATCTTGATACCCTTGATTTCTTTAAACTTCTTTCATATCCGATAATAAATATTTATGTCATAAATCGGTAGCTTTTTCTCTTTTTTTCGTAATATAAACACTTCACAAGGACGAACAATAAATCCGGCTTCGCCTTTTTCTCTTGTCGCCCACGAACTTATTTTACGTGAGTTTTTTTTTTATCTATTACCATAATAAATAAGATCGAATCAATTCTGTTTAAAAGAGAATATGTTATTCACAATCATGTTATCTATTTATCTCTTATATTTAGTGGTAATCGCTTTAAAAAAAATAAAAATAAAATAAAAAAAATAAAATAAAAATAAAAAAAGTAAAAAAGAAAAAAAAAAAAAAAAAAAAAAAAAAAAAAAAAGGAAAAAAACCCCCCCCAAAAAAAGAGCTATTCTTCGGTCGTATGGATTGATGATCCATTCTTTATCAAACGTCAACGTGTTCAAATGGCTTGCTCTTTCT